TCATTTTCGCCTTTTTCCCCTTCCCTTTGGAGATGTGTTTAGCAAGAAGTTGCTGTGGCTGAGGTCAAAGAGGTTGCTGCTTGTGTTCTCTAGGATTTTGATGGATTCCTGTCTCACATTTAGGTCTTTCAACCATTTGGAGTCTATTTTTGTGCATGGTGTAAGGAAATGGTCCAGTTTCATTCTTCTGCATGTGGCTGTCCAATTTTCCCAACACCATTTGTTGAAGAGACGGCCTTTTTTCCATTGGACATTCTTTCCTGCTTTGTCAAAAATAAGTTGACCATAGAGTTGAGGGTCCATTTCTGGGCTCTCGATTCTGTTCCATTGATCTATGTGTCTGTTTTTGTGCCAGTCTTGATGATGACAGCTTTGTAATAGAGCCTGAAGTCCGGAATTGTGATGCCACCAGTTTTGGTTTTCTTTTTCAACATTCCTTTGGCTATTCGGGGTCTTTTCTACTTCCATAAATTTACTTGCTTCTTAAAACAAAAATCCCTGCTGGTTCACTGTTTTCAGTGCATTCTCTTATGACCTCTTTTAATTTGACTGTAAACTATTCTTCCATTTCCTATCTGTGCTTTTTATTCTTCTTGTTGAAATTAGAAATACCGTACATATATATTGGAAAACACCCAATTGCAAATAGAAGAGACCATGTAAAAATGAGGCAACCATCTAGAGAAACTTAAGATTTTTTTAAAAAGAGAATATTTTCTGTTTTTAAAGATTTTATTTATTTATTTGAGATAGAGCAAGAGTGAGTGAGAAGAGAGCAGGAGAGAGCATGAGCGGGAGGAGGGGCTGAGGGAGAAGCAGACTCCCCACTGAGCAGGGAGCCCGACATGGGGCTCTACTCGGGGCTCCATCCCAGGACCCTGGGATCATGACCTGGGCTAAAGGCAGATGCTTAACCAACTGAGCCACCCAGGGGCCCCAAGAACGTTTTCTTTAATTCAGAAGGAAAAAAGGAGGTAACCCACACCGTGTTACTGCAGTTATTCTCCATCAATGTCTATTGTATTGTAATCTTCTGTTTATTTCTCTCAGTGACCTATTTGAAAGTAAGGACCCCGTTTATTAATTCTTTAATTCTGAGCATCTGGCACAGAGCAGGTTTTCATCTCATGTTTGCTGAAGTATATCTTTACTAGTCTTTAGGATGCAATAAATTGATAACACACCCTTGATTTAATAACAGCTTTACATGGGAGGGAAAAAAAGAGGCACCACATCTGTATACTACATTTGTAAACAGCTATTATAAAACATATCCTGATTTCAAGAAAGTCGAAGTTTAAAGAGTATGCCTCAGAATGGAGGAAATCCTTTAATTGTCCTTTTGTCCTTTACTGGACTTCTGGTCCCCAAAACAGAGTGGACTCACCTCCATTATGTCAACAGGCAAAAATTCTTTTTTTTTTTTTTTTGGACAAAAATTCTTTAGTGCTAGTTCTATTGACTCAAATCATCCTACTCTTCCTCCAGTGCTTTTTCTGAGATGACTAATAACTTCCAAATATTTGTCTGTTGTTGTTTTCTTGGATTTCCATTTCCTTGTATTAAATGCTTCTGTTCAAAATTCTTCCCTGGCTTTATGGCCTTCTATTGTCTCAGGGGCCCTTCCTCTAAGGCTCCTTTCTCCTTCTGTGGCTCTCATTCATCTTGTCCTCAGTGTGGGCACTTCCCAAGGCTCAGTTCCCTTCTTTCTTCAAGCTTCAGTAGTGGTTTTCAACCCTGGCTGCACATCAGAATCACTCAGAGAGCCTTTTTAAAATGTCCAAGCCCAGATCCCAGCCTAGATCAATAGGATTGGTCAACTTGGCTGAAATATTAGCGCTGTGACCCTTGGTCATGTAACTGAACCTCTGAAATTCAATTTCTTTGCTTGTAAAATTAAGATAATGTTAAAATCTGCTCCATCAGATTGCCTAATACATTCTTATTCCCCATAATAACAGCAAATATCATCTCTTCTTTTTTTTCATTTATTTAAGTCCTGTGTTTCCTTGAAAACTAAGTCTTTCCTCCTTCCCTCAGCCTCCATAATCACAATTTATTTTTGCTTGTTTGCAAATCACACTCAAAACTCAAGATGGGCCTGTAAAAATAAAATGGTCTCCTCGCTGATCTTCCTACAACTGTTACTGTCACCTTTCAATTCTTTCTCTACACAGCAATCCGACATTCCAGAGTGATCTTAAGAAAAATTAGTTCCTGTTGCTATTTTTTTTTTTTTTACATTGCTTTCTATTTTAAATCTAGCAATGAATTCTCTTTGTTCTTAGGTTAAAATCCAAATTCTCTAACCAGGCTACAAAGTTCTGTGAAACCTGACCCTCATCATGCTTCCCTCTCACTGACTTTCATAGTCTGGTCCCACTGGTTCTAATCTGCTATATTCTTTCCCACCTTGGAGACTTGCTCATACTGTGCGCTCTGCCGGGAATGATTTTATGCTCACCTTTCTGAAGTCATCTTGATAATTACATCCTTGGTGAACACTTCTCTGACCCTCAGTCCCAGTAGTGTCCCTAGAAAAATCTTCTCTCTACATCCCATAAATATCCTTTGTAATGAAATGTTTTATCATGAACTGAATGGAATAGAGTATGATACTAACTTTTTCTTAATAAACCTCTATATCGTTTGATTTGTTGCCACAAGCATGAATTATATTTGTAATGTTTAAAAGTTATTAAAAAGCATGAGAAACAGCATAATGCTTTTTAAAAGTCATATAGTTGTTTAATGTCTACCTCCTCCCCTAGAATACAAATTCCAAGACGAGCATATTTGGGGCTTGTCCTCTTCGCCACTGTGGCCACAGAATCGACCTAAGCTTCAAACACAGGAGGTACTAGATTTATTGAGTGAACACCATTGACTGAGAAGAACAGGACATGAAAACTGAATGGGAGGCTAAGCACTAACCTTGCCCAGAAAGGAGATGGCCCTTAGTCCCACTTAGAGAACATGAGGGGCTGGAACACACCCGGGCCTGTCCGAGTCAACATCTTAGTCAAGAGCATCCTCCCAGCCCAAGACTGGGGCAGGAAGGCTCTTAAACAGTGGACATGGTTGAAGTCTCAAGAGGGAGGCAGCATTCATGTGACTAGTTATTGGCATCTGACTAGTTAAAAAATAGGACCTGGGCAGACGCTACAGGCAAATCTAGGGGGTCATCATTATACTTTTTAAAAAATTTTAAGCTTTTCTAGTTATCATTTTGTAATTATAATTGTCTTCATTATGCACATGGCCCTTAACATATGCAGGTTGGTATTATAATTTATACAAATATATATCTGATCTCCAATTTCCCAATTGAATCCACAATTCCTTACGTACAAGGTTTTTGTTTATAAGTGTTTGCATGCCCTGACCTGGCACAATCCGTATCAAATTCCCTAGAAATGGATATAGCTAACATTCTTTCACCCAAGGAAAGTGTTCAAAGCTTCCATATTTCTCAGATACTTTCTAATGTTTAATTTTTTTTTAACATTTTATTTATTTATTCATAAGAGACAGAGAGAGAGAGGCCGAGGGAGAAGCAGGCTCCCTACTGAGCAGGGAGCCCGATGCGGGACTCGATCCCAGGACTCTGGGATCATGACCTGAGCCGAAAGCAGACGCTTAACCATTTGAGCCACCCAGGCACCCTCTAATGTTTAATGTTTAAATAAATGCAGCAAACTTTCACACTTATATCACCAAAGTTTGTGGAAGTTTCTTTGATTTTCACTGACCTTTAGTGGGTTTCTTTGGTTTAGAAAATTTTTTTAACATTTTATTTATTTATTTATTTGAGAGAGAGAGACACACACAGTGGGAGAGGGAACACAAGCAGGGGGAGCGGGAGAGGGAGAAGCAGGCTTCCGCTGAGCAGGGAGCCTGCTGTGGGACTCGATCCCAGGACCCTGGGACCATGGCCTGAGCCGAAGGCAGACGCTTAACGACTGAGCCACCCAGGCGCCACTGGTTTAGAAATTTTTGACAGAGCACTTGCATATAGATGCCTGTAATGTTATCTGAACAAATGAAGTTGATATTTTAATGAGAACGTGTGCCTTGCAAGCAATAAACTATTTCTCTATGGCTTTAAACATAGGATATGCTTTGTAAGTTACAGGAATTGCCCAATGAGATCTTTTGTTGTCCTGGGATTCTGTTGCGGTAACTAGTAGGCTTTTGACATGGGGTTTGAGGGCTTTTCTCTTTTGGGGGCAACTTATGTTGTGGTAGAGCAGAAGGAGACTGGAATCCATTAATTTTGCACATGATCATAGCTGTGTCCTTCAACAAATAAAAATACGTGAAATAGGCTCCAGGAACTCTCACCTCCAAAAATCCAAGGATAACAAAGGCATATTGAATCTGCAGTTTTATAAAAGCGATGCTGATTGATCCCTTCCCTCCTAGGAATCTGAATTATAGGTGATAAGCCTAGGTTTTGCTCTTTTCCCATAATTTAACATACCTTGAGGTAAGACATGTTTGATTGAGGTTGCCTTAAGATAGCACAAATTCAAGTCATTGTGTGACTTCAGTAAGATTACATTTATTAACCCAGGTTACCCATGATGACGGTTTCCAGGCCAACAGCATGAAATGAGGTTTTTTTAAAACCAAAAAAAAAAAAAGTATATTGTTGCTATTTCACAGAAAGAATTATTTATGTGTTAATTCTACCTTACTCATCCAGTTGCTGTTCTGAATAGCTGCATGCTGGCTCTCTTTTTCTCTGCTATATTCTCATAGTTGCTTACTCTCTGCCTGCTTTGACCCTTTCCTCCCCCTAATTAAAGTTAACAGTGTGTGAAAATTTTGTTTTTATTAGGAATAAAAATTCATAATTTTACAAAGAAACCTATCTGAAATAAAAAGAAATAAAGTGGTAATATACTCAGAAGTTAAAAACAAAATAACGCTGTTACTAGTTTAGGAAGGAAAAGCATCAATTAATTAGCTAAATAATTAATTTAAAATGCGCTTACCATGGATTTTGGTATCTGTGGCTTATTTTATCAATAGTGGCTTGACTTAGTTCTCCACACTGTAAAAGAAAGAAAACCAATGTAACCTAATTCCAGGGTAAATTGGCACCAACATGCCTAACAGTCTATATTCCTAGTCCAAAAGGAAGTCAGGCTGGGAAGTTAAATAGGAGATGGTAAATACAATTAAAAGAACATAGCCTTCTGATTCTTGAATTGAGGGGAAAAAAAATGCAAGAAGTAAAATAAGTATGATCCTGTGTACTTTATTTCCCCTCTCTGTAAAAGAGAGATATTAGTAGCCGGAAGCGTATAGCCCATAGTCTCAAAGCTCCTTTCTGTTTTTATGATTCTGTCTGTAAATGAGCAGGCATTCTTAACCACTGTTCAGACTCAAACAGTCGAGCTCTTTTTATTTCACCTTATCCTCACAGAATTAGCAAATGTGGTGGCAATAATGTAGGAAAGAGCTGGGTTATAGGCAGCCTGTGGTAAGTGCAGATCTGAAAACTCCTTTCAGAAAGCATAATTTAGAACATGGATAAAATATTTGTAGCTTAGGACCAGTTCCCACATAAAAAAAATCCCCACACTCTCTCATGTACACTGAAATGATCTACTATCACTGAACAAATGACCTTTCTATATGGGCTCTTTACCCCAGGAACTAGCCAATTCATGGCACATCTTATGAATAGGCAAATGGGAATAGAGGCGTCAAATTTATATTGGAAAGGGTTTCGGTTTATAATCATTACTCAATTTTCCATACTTGGGTTGGGAAACAATGATCTGGATTATCAAAATATTTCACTTGAGTTTTGGAATGCATTTTTCACTTACATTGATGTGGGATGCTATATTCATAACATCTCGAAAAGTAGCAAGATTGTATTATAATTTCAACATCAGAGGAACTATTTAGTACTTTTTTTTTTTTTTTAACCCTCCCCTTTTCTTCCTTTTCCCTCAAGCTTTACTTTAGGACTTTCCTGATCAAGTCCTTCAGAGTTATTTGTGTTGGGAAAAAAGATCTATTTACTTGTCATCTTCTCAGAGATGAAGTTGAAACCTTGATCACTTCTAACTCTGTAATATTCATGTATAAAATACATAAACAAAGGAAGGGTCAAGAAAAATAAGGTTTAAATGCAAGGGTGGCCCATTATTCCGTAGAAAATTTGAAAAGTAGTAATCTGTATAGATAATGGTATAACTTTCTCAGTTATTTCTGACATGTGATTCCCTAAAAATTGATCTTATCAACTGACTTACGAATAATTTTGTTATCAGCATTTTGACAAATTTTCCCAGGAACTGGACAATCTTCTTTGATCTTTGTTCCCGTTTTTAAAACTCAGAAATTGCATCGTCTTAATCTGGAAAGACTTTTATTAGAAACAAGCAACAGATTCTTTTGCTATCCCCCTTTTGTCCTTTAGTTATCAGTGTATAATATCTTAAAAAATTTACCTAAAATAAGCTGTCAATTTATTAATGAAATCCATCACCGTTTATTTGGATAATCTTGCTGCCTGTGGTGTTAAATCTAATGAAATTCAAAACCAAAAAGATCTTTTTTTTTTTTTTCTGGTCAGTTGTTCATAAGAGTAAAGAAAAGACTGAATTAAAACCTAACTCAACATCTTCATAGAAACAGGTAACAACAGATTAGTACAGTCTCTGTCTCGAGGAAATCAGTTACTTTGAATGTTTTAACTAGCACAAATAATCATAACTCAAAAGAGGGTATTTCCTATTAAGTAATCTTTAAAGAAGTCTAGGCATTACTAAAAGGGAAATATCTGCTAACTACATTCAGGTACTGTGGATTAGATACGATTTCTGAAATGAGTTAGAACCTGTTCAATTTGAGTTAACTGCAGACATTTGGGGCCCATTCTAGTTAACAACGGAAATCATTGCTTAATACTTTCACTTTTAATCTCAAACCACTTCTAGTCTAGTCCTGACATACTTAAGAAATCTTTTTGGGACTGATCGTTTAGGAATCCTCTTGCTTTTTTACTGTATGTGAGTCAACATGCTTTTCTTAATATAGCCAATATGTATGTATGTATGTATGTATGTATGTATGTATGTATTTAACTAGGAAGAACTATTTTCCATCTCTGTTTAACTATGAGGTCTTTCTTACCAGTAGAATGAATACAATGGCAATGCATTTCAAGAATGCATAGACACTAGGGTTTCTCTTCTCTCTCCTCCTCCTTGGTAACATAGAGCTCTTAGTACCAAACATTTGAGTGGAAAATTCCCTAAGGCTACCTTTTCTTATGCTAATGTATTTTTTCTTCACTTGCCTCAATTTGCAAAATATTACTGTTAACCCCTTAGGTGTCTTTCTTCCCACAGCCTATGGGAAGCATTCTCATTGTTGTAGCTGGATCACCGAATTGCATAATGTTGCCTATTCTAGACTGGAACTATTGAAGGGAGAAAGGGGCATAAAGACCTTTGTATGAATGGCGCATTTGAAGTATTCATTTTATATTCAGAGCATGAGTAGAAACAAAACAATTCTTTCTGAAAAATGTCAGTATTTAAGGCATGGATTCTGTGATGCATTTTTTTTGTATTAAAATGCAAAAAATGAACAATGCAGAGACCCATACTTCATTTTTTGCTACATTATATACGGGCTTGAGTTCCAACATAAATTATATCCTGGTATCTCTTTTTGTAACTGCAGTGTTTTTAAATAATTTGAATTAATACATCAACTTTCAGCAAATAGATTAAACATTGGGTTTTATGAGTTTGTTGACTATGGCCCCAGCATCGCTGTTTTCTGGGCAGTAGCCAAATAATGAGCAACATATTCCATCATGTTTCTAATGTGCTTATAATAATATAATTCAAAAATCCATGCAGGCAAGAAGATACAGTATATATAAACACTAGTGATACTGGATCCCATTTATTGAGACATTATTCTAGATACTATGATAAGAGCTTTACACACTTATCTCACTTAATCCATTTAACAGTGCTCTAAGGTATTATTATTATCCCTACGGTAGGCAGAATTCTTAGATGCCCCCCACTATTCTCATCCCTTGGTGTGTATACCTTCTCCTAGATATTCCACCAAATACTGATCTAATTACTGTTATGAAGGGATTTTGCAGCTGTAAATAAGACCCTAATTCAGGTGAATTTAAGAAAAGGGAGATTATCCTCAGTGGACCTTCCTTAACCAGGTGAGCTCTTAAAAGGATCTAGGCTCTTCCTGGCAAAGGGGATTTGAAGTGTGAGAGGTATTTGATATGGGGGAGACTCTCTGTGCTTTTTTTTTTTTTTTTAAGATTTTATTTATTTATCTGAGAAAGAAAGAGCACGAGAGGGGAGAGGGTCAGAGGGAGAAGCAGACTTCCCACTGAGCAGGGAGCCCGATGTGGGACTCGATCCTGAGACTCCAGGTTCGCGACCTGAGCCGAAGGCAGTCGCTTAACCAGGTGAGCCGCCCAGGCGCTCTGTGTGCCGGTCTTAAAGATGGAGGGGGGCTACGTGGTAAGGAATGTGGGCAGTTTCCAGATGCTGAGAAGGGCCCGCCACTAAGAGCCAGCAAAGAGGTGGGAAACCTCAATCCTACAACCACAAGGAACTGAAATCTGCCACAACCACATGAACTCAGAAAAGACAGCAAGCCTCAGATGAGATCACAGCTCCAGCGGACACCTCGATTTCAGCGTTCTGACACCCAGGCAGAGAACCCAGCCATGTCTTCCAGGGGACCTCTCACCTACAGAACTGTGAATAAATAAATGGGTGCTGCTTTAAGCTGCTAAATTCGTGGTAATTTGCTATGCCCCATAGAAAACTAATACAATCCCCATTTTACAGATGGGAAAACTGAGACGTTATAAAAAATAGGCAGCCTAGCATGCAAAGGGATAAAAAGGGGGAAATGAAAAGTTCTTCAACTGGCTACTTTCACTTATAAAGTCACATTCAGTTTTTCACTAAAACCACGAACATAGATTTGCCCTGAAAAGCATTATGAATGTTAGTTGCCCCATTTACTCTCAGAGAGAAGGCAAATATCTGTTATTTTCTCCCCATACTTCTCCAGGACAGTAAATGTTCTCCTTATTCATTCTCTATTCAAGATACCCAAGGATTTTCTTTTAAAGCAAGACTAGAACTCGTTCTGTTGGGAATCGTTAGGATTTGTGATAGTAATCATTCTACTATCAGCCCTTTGTCCAGAGTGGGTTGATAATCCAGGGTCTGATATCTGCACAGAGTCAATTATTGGAGCTACAGAGAAGCTACACAAGAGCTTCCCAACTCTCTGTTTGTGCTCAGGGCATAGTTTCTGAAATAGAATCAAGTACGTGTTTTGCAAGTGTTTTCACCCTTGGAGTTTTCTAATGTGTTGGCACTGCTGTTAATTCAAAGGTTAAAAAGTGTGCTTCTCCCAAGTTAATTGTCCAATTAGCTTTACAACACAGAATTACACGCAGGGTGGCAGCTCAGGCTGTAAGAACAGTTACAGTATAACTAAGTCTCAGTAAAAAAAAAAAAAAAAAGATGGTAAATAGTTTTCAAATGCCTATGGAGTAAGCTAGGAGTACAACAATTCTCAGTCGAATGCACACTTAAAACTTCATTTCTTCCCTTCTGCAACTTGGTCTCTGCACAAAGACAGTGCATGAGAAGTGAAGCCATCTCCACGCCCATCTCTCATTACTTAGTGATAATCATCTATACCATGCTAAGCAGTAGGGAAGTGGTGTTGATGTTGTCAGTACAAAGTTAAATGAAAGAGATCTCAGACCTCACGTTGCTTAAAACAATTTAAAATGTGGCACCTGCACCCCAATATTTATAGCAGCAGTGTTCGCAATAGCCAAACTAGGGAAAGAGCCCAGGTGTCCCTCGACAGATGATTGGATAAAGAAGAGGATACACACACACACACACACACACACACACACACACACACACACACACACAGTGGAATATCACTCAGCCATCAAAAAGAATGAAATCTTGCCATTTGCAACAACACGGATGGAACTAGAAGGTATTA